TGGCAAATGAAGTCGATGTGGATGCATTGGCAAATGTTATGGAGGACTTTGTGGAGGTATTCGCAAACGAACTCACACCATTTGCTGTCGCTTTGAGTGAGCAATTACGAGACACATATCTTCGAATTGTTCGAGAGTTGTTAGAGCGCAACCAACAAAAAGAAGATGATGATACATACGGGGACTTCCTTGACGACAAGAGCATAACTGCGCTGGGTGTGCTCCAGACAATTGGTACTTTGATTCTTACACTGGAGAGCACGCCGGATGTGCTCCTACACCTGGAGACTATCCTTATGCCGGTTATTACCATAACTCTCGAGAACAAGCTATATGGTAAGTAACCCTAGAATCTACATCATTGCCGTATTTATACTTTTAGATCTATATAACGAGGTGTTTGAGATTATCGATAGCTGTACCTTTGCGGCAAAGAGCATCTCTCCCACTATGTGGCAAGCGTTCGAGCTTATTCATCGAACATTCAAGGCTGGTGCTGAACTCTATCTCGAAGGCGAGTACTATTTCAAGCGTTTCTATTTGACTCCGCTAATATCTGGTAGATATGTTGCCTGCTTTGGAGAATTTTGTCAATTACGGATCCGAAACTCTTATCCAGAACCGCCCATACCTTGAAGCCATCGTAGACATGGTTCGAACCATTTTCAAAGATGACAACGTTGGAGGTGTCGACCGGATATGCGGGTGCAAGCTTGCAGAGATCATCATGCTGAACATGCGTGGTCATGTTGATGACTTCGTCCCCGAATTTATCCAGCTTACCATGATTGTTCTTACCAACGATGAACCCAAGGTCAAATCCCTACGGATACATCTCATGGAGGTGGTTATTAATGGAATATACTACAACCCATTACTGGCTCTTCACGTTCTAGAGAGCAATGGTTGGACCAACAAATTTTTCAGTCTCTGGTTCTCAAATATTGACAGCTTTACCCGGGTGCACGACAAGAAGTTGTGTATTTCTGCAATCTGCGCTCTCCTCATATTAAGAGCGACAGATGTACCTATTAGTGTACAGCAAGGCTGGCCACGATTGCTCCAAGGCATCGTCCGGCTATTCCAGACTTTACCTGCAGCAATGAAGAGTGAGCATCAAATTCTTCACGTTTTATAAAGCGTGGCACTAACACAGTTATCATTAGACCGGGAAGAGGCCAAGAAAGAAGACAATTTCGACTTCTCCAATGAGTACGATGAGGAGGAAGAGGAAGAATGGGAAGGTGATAACGATTGGAATAATGATGCTGATGAGGCTGAGGATGTTAAGGATGAAAGCGCAGCATATTTGGAGTTCCTCAATGAAGAAGTACATGTAACCATGCAGAATGAATTTGCAGTGACTAACTTTGGTCAGGCTCAAAAATTCACTGCCGTTAGCGATGATGATGATGATGAGCTTGAGGAGGAAAGTTTGCTTGAGACTCCCCTTGATAAGGTGGAGCCATACGGCATGTTCAAGGATGCCCTACTCAGTATGATAAATCTAGTTGCAACACACTCCATACTGATTAAGCCTTAGGACTCCAACAAGAACAGCTCCAGCTGTATGAGAACCTCACAAAGAACCTGAACCCTGAAGAACAGCAAGTAGTCCAAGCTGCCGTCCACCAAGCCGATGTCATCGCACAGCAGGTCGCCCGAGCGCAACAAACAAATGGCAACCCAGTCGCTACCGAGTAAATATCCTCATCATCCACCACCACACTCCCCACCCATCCTCAAACCCCCCCCCACCCCCGTATCATTCCCTCACCGTCCCCTTGGTACAGATCTCTTTAGTCCAGCGAGCATGCAAACCCACCCCGGCGTTGATGTTGTTTTCAGGCGGATGGCGTAAGAAAGCGTTTGTGTGTTTTCCCCGCAACGCGGCAAGGCGATGGTAAAGTGGAGATCTATTTCTCTATGACAATACAATTTGTGGGCGACCAAGGGAAGGTAGTCATGTAGTTAAGAAAGACTTTTCTTTTTCTGCTTTTCTCTTTATTACACTCAAATCACGTAGGTAGTTTGATTCAAAGCGGCTAGGGTACACCCCCTTATTCATTCTCAGTGATTGCTGGTTTGGATTGAAGATGTGTGTTTTGGCTTGATGGTGAAGGAGAAAATGGATAGATGAGATGGATTGAAGATATTGATGTGGTCGGAGATTTTTTGATGGTATGAAGAATACATTGTAGACGCTCGAAATATGTCATGAGAAGTACTAGCTGCTGCCTGGGGGATAAATTGCTGAGGATCCTCCAGAACGTAGATTTATGGTACAATCGACACCAAAGGATAGCTACTTAGAAACCTATACTTATTTTTTATAAGCCAGAGTCTCCAGAGCGCTTCAGTCGCATGTCAAAATAGTCGAGATTCTAAGCCGCATAACTAGGTGACCTTTAGGATCTATACCGTACTTGAAGGGCGCCCTGAACCACTTTCCGAAGGACCTAGATTATTTTGCTTCTATGCATAACAGTACACAATATTACTGATAATAGGGAATCCCTTAAATTACCTTGATAGTCTAGATACGCCTTATTAGAGCTAAGATAGTGTTTTGAAGCCTTTTAAAGTGTTTAAGAATAATAGCAGTACACCACTTATTTAAGTAGGTAGTTTGGCTATTAAAAGACAGGACGCACTAACGCAAGCACTTTCTAACTCACATTAATCTAATTAAGAGAACACAGTAGGTGGTCAGCAGAGCAAGAGGAGTTTAGGATACTAGAAAGTACTTATTGACAATTTTTAGAATTTATGTATATGGACATCGTTGGGTAAGGCTTATACGGCTGGGTGTACAAAGAACATGCTCACCAGGGGCTACTTAGTAAGAAGTATCTAAGAAGAATCCACCAAGACTATTAGTCAGCTAAGGGCAGTCATAAAAATCTCTCATTTACGACCTGCATCCCGCCATCCGGCCTTCATCTTCTATTGTTTAGCTGTTCATTCCACATCTCGACCCTAACCTCACAACGAGCACGGGGTCTTTGCTTATCATACGGGGCATTATCGGCTATGCATCTCCTGCAATGACCCGCATACCCACCCAAAGTGGGGAAACGGCTGAAGCCCGAAGATACTCTGGGCCTGGATGGCTCCGGCCCCAGCTCGTCTGCTAGCTCTAGCTATAGTTGGGCTAGTGCTAATCCAGCTGTTGATCCTCTTGGCCTCGAAGATGGCGGTCCTGTGGGTCCTGTTGTCGATCGGTAGTCCGTGCACCGATTGTAAGAAAAGAACGAGGACTCTGTCTATTCAAACTATGAAGAAAAGAAGCTATTTATACATGAGGTAGGTCCAGGCAACTAAGTCAAATACCATAGACAACTGAGACAAAATAGGTAATAGAAACGGGTGGTGAGACCTAGGGTACTAGGCATCAAAGACAGTAGTAAGACGGTGGTAAGAAAACCCGATCTGGACCGACACCTGTTGAACCCTGTTGCCGTTGTTGCAATGCGTGATTTCGAACAAACTCATAGTATTGGTACATGAGCGCTGATATATTAGATTTATCTGGTCCGTTTGGAGTCTTTCCGTTCTCGCTACTGCTAAGGTTCTTGAAAACTCCCGTTTGAAGCTTTTGGACCAAATTAGCATCTTTTCATGGAGGCGCGAACGACGCAATGAATCCTCCAAGTTGTTTATTGAGTAACGTAGGCTTCCCGAGAAGATGGATCGGTGCTCGCTTACAATAGTCAATGTGTGTAAGATGCAAATTTAGCAATGCTCCATTTGGGCCGCGTAGTGCTTTCGTAGAAGCCTGAGAGAAAGCAAAGTCCTTGCTGAGAGAGGATATAAAGGCGTCGTAAACTCTCCCAGTTTTAGCCTCCAGATCAGTGGCAAAACTTGAGTATGGTGAGACCGCCCTAGACATGCCGACGTAGCAGGTGTATACTTCTACCAAGTCATCCATTTAATGCTCCGTTGCGCTCCCAGATGTCAGCCTCCCCAAAGAAAAGGACTTTCGCATCCCAATCCGCTATAACAGCCAATAGCTGCTTGATTGTCAGGCAGAAATATCGCACAGAATAGAGTGTAGATCCCGGCTGAAAAGAACGCTCAGAGGTTGGGAGTTGAGAGTCTTTTATCTATTTTATCATCGCCAGGTAACATGGAGTGACAGGTGGTTTGGGTAGCCATGTGCACACCCACAGGTGACCAATGACGCGTTATGAACATATCACGCAATTGAAGCGGTGTAGTGATTCAACAAAGTTCGGGACGGGTAAGCGATGGAAGACGAAGCTGGGTAACAGGCAATGACTGAATGTTCAGTTAGCTGTTACAAGCAAAGCTAGCTAACATCTTGTATATCAAACTTATCACGCACAGAAACTAGTGAGAATATCATAGTTGAGCGTTTTATGAACGATAACCTGTGTGACCACCGAATAGAGCATGACATTGTGCGAGAACTCACCCGTTCACACCCTCGAAGAAGCGGCGGATATGAAGTGTTGATCACGCCATTGGACGACGACAATTACTCACCAAGTTGCGGTGGTTGGGATTGGCCCCTCGTTTGCTCTAGGAGACAGGTCTTAGTGTAGGGCCAACTAATCCAGTTCCGATGTTCGGCAGGGATTTTCGCGGGGATTTTTTCCGATTACTGGCGTCGTAGTCAAACCCCTACTTCGATTAGAATTATTGCGGTTGAAGTAAAGAGATCTGCGAGACTGGCTTGAAGGAAAGAGGAATATTAGAATAGGCAAACCCGACCTGCTTTTCGGAGCAAAGACTCACAGTGTACCTCCGTATTTTCCCACAAGAAAGGGAATCTATTTTAGCTTGTCGGCCCCCCTTTGTAACTGAATTGATGGCAAAGAAAAATGATCCATGGGTTCGGCGAATTTTCCCAGCTTTTCGTCGGCTGAATTTCCTCACTCCAAGAGGATTATGATTGGCTCAACTATCAAATCTCTTTGTATTTCTCATGATTGGATAAGTATGTACTGGTTAATTTTAGAGCATTTCTTTCAACGGGCACCATGGCCTAATGGTAAGGCGTAAGTCAATTCTCGATCTTTCCGGTATGAATTCTAGCTAATCACGTAATCGCGCGATAGGCTACTTTCCGGCTTAATATGGTAGAGACTGAGGGTTCGAGTCCCTCTGGTGTCGAGCTTTTGTTGCGCTTCAGGGTAGGGTTGAAGATTTTTTTGGCTGAAAATTCGACCATTTTGGATTCCGTAACTGTGACCTTATCGATAACCAACTCCCTGAGAGCCTGGGTAACGACCCAAAACTTAGGTACTTCTTAAAGTCTAATTATCTCCAAAATACTACGAAGTGAAAACTCTTTATCTTCTCTGTCGCTTCCACGTTATGGTAATATCGCAGCTTTATTATGCGATATAGGTAGTCGATTAGTTTTAGTCTTAAATCCACAAAGATACATTTTAAAATCTAACGTCAAATCAGGTCCTCAGGTATCAATAAGGGCCAATTAGATTAGCTAAATTCGGTGCCGTACAGGGCTGGTGATATTCTTAATAATTCTTCTTTAATTAACGTCTGATACAGATGCTATCTAGCCCCACGCAGACTACTCCGTACACAAGGGAAAAGTAATATTGACGGGAAAAAACCCTTGCTGCTGGGGGGGAGGAAAAACCCTATGAGCCACCTCAGTAGGATAAAAAACCCCAATTTGCCATGTCTGTCCGTAGCGGCGGCCCTGCGGGTCTACGGCTACGTCCTATCCTCCTTGGATGTTCGAACTCCTTGGGAACCACTGCTTCCTTCTCTAGCTTACCCTAGCTAGGGTTCACTACGTCCCAGCTAGGCCTTGCCAATTAATTGCCGTACTGCTGTTTCCCGTATCTTAGCCATCCCCTGTATGCTATTTCTTATCTAACCATTGCCATATACGCCATGCCTTCCCCCCCCTAGGGCCTATCAAAGGCATAAGGGGGATTCATCCGTTCTAACTACCGTAATACTAATAAGCGAGCGGGATATTGTGTATTTGGGTATCTTTTATGCCTAGGCCCCAGCTAGGCCCTTTCTAAGGGTCACCACTCCGTCAAAAGAAGACAGGGAAAACCGTGGGTCGCAATCCAGGCTGCTAGGTAGTATTTGGTAGAAAAAACGGCGAGTGACCGCATGCTCCGCGGGCGATCGCCCTAGGGGTTAGGAGGGGCTGTATATTTGCTCATTCATCTGCTCGTTCGTTCGCGATCGCCTGTTCGTCAATATAAGAGGTCGTTAATGCTTTCTATTAGGGGTCGGGGGATGCTATCAAATGCCGTATATCCACGTTAGATTGTATAGGTGCCTTAATAGGAGAATAGCGTAGCTGAATTGTAGAGGGCCACAGTAGTGGTTTTCGAGATCCCACCATCTGAAAACCTTTCACCACCGCCCATAACGCTCACAACCACGACCACCAGGTCCTATCGCACGCTGTACGACGTCTCTGCGTTGGCTCTGAGTCTGAACTTCGAAGACCCAGGTTCGTAGCCGTCACCACGTACAGGTGCAGAGTCCGTTTTCGACGGCCGGGCTGGTGATATTCATAATATACTATATCAAATTGACATACAAGATTAATTTTTGGAGTTAAGTCGCTCAATATAAGGCCTCTAGCAGTCGTCCTCCCTGCAGAACGGTTTTTAATATATGGGTGTAATTGATAACTAAATTCTATATAGATATACGCGTTGTTTTGAAAACGGTGTTCCTGCACGGTCCACTTGATCTAAGGACCCTGACGTTGCAAGGGATAATAATATATCTCGCTCCTTAGTATTCTTAATAAGGGGTTATAATTTATATAAATAGAGATATAGTTACTCAAAAAATCCATTATATCAATAAAATATATAATAACTCCTATAGTTAGGACGTGGCTCGTAGAAAAGGATAAAAATCGTTTTTTAAAACATTTAGTTTGCACGAAAACAACGCCCACAAGCTCTAGACGCTTCGTGGAGGATTAGGGGGCCGTTGCACGTGCTTCCCCTGCCCCGTAACTAAATTCTACTACGGAGCGTCTAATTTATCTACCTAAGCAACATGCGGATCACGCGATGAGTAGGTATTTATTCACTTGATGCTGTCTTTTGTACGGCCGGCCTGTCTTCAAGTTCCCTGGAGCTACCTCTAGGTTCCTCAAAGTTTCGAATACGATTTTCACTCGCACATGACACCAATTTCCACCATGTCTCTGCTTAGGCTTCTTAATCCAGCTCTAAACGCACGGTATGCCCTCCAGGCATGCCCTACAAAGATATATATCCGATTGACTGGATTTTAAGGCATGTAATTGTGCCCAACGATATGATCCCTCGGCCGAAAATTCCTCGTCGAGTCCTTCACAAGGTTCGTAAGAGGGAAGTAGGGTGGTTCTGGGCTGTTTATGCTGACTTCGGGGAAGGCGTGGAAGGAATCAAGATGGGTTAGAAGTCAAGAAAGTTTGGTTCGGCCATTTTCTTCAGTAGCTCAGACAGAGGAGCTTTCAAGTGAGTTCAGAGACATTCGGTTGGCAGGTCAAAACTCGAATACATCTATCGCAGAGCCCTTGGTAAACAATAAACCCGCATCCATATTGGTCATCCTAGGCCTGACTATTGGTAAAGCATGTGATGCGGTTTCCCCCGAACCTCCCTGTACTCAATCGTCCGCTTGTGCGTGGGAACTCGGTCACAGCGTATTCGGACAACGCGAATAGGTTTGTGAACATGTAGGTGTAGCCTTCTATTTTGAGTTTGGTGTTTTCACTAACTTCGAGTAATTGTGGTAGCCCGAAAATATGGTTAAGGTATGGAAGACCCTCTAATATCTGGTACCACATGTTCATTCGAGAAGGGATAATTGCCAGTGCAGCAGTTGTGTCCACGAAGTTACCAAACAGCGTCTCCTTGACACATTTCAGGTGCTTTCAACTTCTTCTTGTATTTTTAAGCAGCTGATGGGACTTTCAAGATTCCAAAAGACATATCCATCAAGTCATGCGTAGAAGAGGATTATGGTATTCGAGTCTCTTGTGAGTGGTGTTCGGTCTTTGCTCTTTCACGATTTGACACGCATAGGGAGTGACGGCCATGAAAGCTATTATACAAATGAATTCCTGGCCAAGAGCGCGTTAAAGAATAGATTTGTGATACGACAAGGTCTTGCCAAGTAATATCAGACTGATATTTCAACCGATGATCCTTCTGACAAACTAAAAGAACCTCGCTATGGTCCAACTCCATTGAGCACAATCCTCCAATCGTAGAGTATGATGCTGTAATCAAATTAGATGAAGGCTTAAAAGAGTGTTTATGCAATATTGTACACTCCCATTCAATGTTCAGAATTATTCCCTAGACTAACAATAACTCAGCGCGAATTTGGATTCTGCTACGTTGACGGAACACCACCAGTCCCCGAAGATACTGAAAAGCTCCTGGAGAGAATTGCATTCATTCGTAACACCCATTATGGTATGTTCGGCCAGCGGCTCGTGAAATTCTAGATTAATTTAGTGTCAGGTGGATTCTACGATTTCACAGCGGATCTCGCTTCTAAGGACACAGCCTACACTTCGATAGCACTAGATGCTCACACGGATAATACATATTTCTCTGATCCCGCCGGCTTACAAGCCTTCCACCTTCTCTCACATACGGAAGGTGAAGGAGGTGCTTCACTTCTAGTTGATGGCTTTAAAGCAGCTCAGGATTTGGCAAACCAAGATCCGGAAGCCTACAACTTGCTTAGCACTGTTAACGTGCATGCGCATGCAAGCGGCAACGATGGCATCAGCATTCAGCCATATAGGGCCTTCCCCGTGCTGCTCCATGATCCGCACATTCACCACCTAGTCCAAGTGCGATGGAATTCCTCAGACCGAGCTGCGATCGATATGCCCCTTGAGGAAGTCCAAAAGTGGTACGATGCCGCGGAGTGAGTACCATTTTCTGACAACCTAACTACTGCAAATCGACCCAATTGACTTATGAAAAGTCATGCAGCAAATGGTCAAAGCTTCTACGATCTTCCGAAAATGAGTATTGGTGTCAACTGACTCCCGGAAGAGTCTTGGGTAAGTAATCTAGGTGCTTTCAAGAGTTAAGAACTCACCCAAAATAGTCTTCGATAACTGGCGAATCCTCCACGGAAGATCTGCATTTACCGGTAAGAGAAGAATCTGTGGTGGCTACAGTAAGTAGTTTTTTCTCTTTGTGAGAACCAAAATGCTGATGGCGGCTAGTCAATCGGGATGATTACATATCAAGGTTCAAGATGTTGAACTGGGGTCAGGAGGTGTTGAAGTCTCTTGCAGTAGCATGAGAGAATTTATACTGCTAAAAGATGAATGCAAGGGGGGAAATTCCCCGTGCCTCTTATGCTTGCTTCCAAGGTGGTCCTCTGCATTCTACTTTGAAGCACACGGAGCGGGGCAATTTTCAGATTGCTCTTCACCATCGAATTTGTAAGTGCATGTACTGTAAATATTCATACATTATATCCAGAAAAGAAGTAGTAGAGACAGTTACTTATCATTGTAAGCTGTTGTAAAAAATTATGTTTGTCAGAGTGGCCAGTGAAACGTGAACACCGAGATCGCGCCAAGGCTGATGTCTCGCTAATCCTGGAGCTTCACCTTCGTAAGCCAGAGCTGCCTCAACCAGTCCATTTATCAACACCTACTTCCTGCATCATCTTCAATCGCCAAAAACTATACTCAACCAAGATCCTCTTCTAGGCTTTCAACCCACATAGACCACCTCATATTATCTTGACTCACCTGCCCAAGCAACCGCCACCGCCATGTCGACACTGGAAGACCTCGATGACCTTGAGCGCGAGGAGAAGGAGGACAAGAAGGACGAGAAGAAGAAGGATGAGGGGGGAAAGGATAGGAAGAAGGCCGATGGGGATGCGGAGATGCAAGATGCAGCCGAGGAGGAGAAGGAGGATGTTTTGGACGAAGAGATTCTCAACTCAAGTACACGAGATATCATAGCGCGGAGGCGGCTTCTGGAAAATGACACCCGGATCATGAAGAGCGAGTTCCAGCGATTAACACACGAAAAAGCATCAATGCATGAGAAGATCAAGGAAAATCTAGACAAGATTGAGAACAACAGGTATGTTCTTCCATAAGGCCGGCTAGGTGCCTTTCCTATGTC